AGTGCTCAGATTTTCAGATTTTTTATTGGTACGAATACAAGAATGTGACATGTGTTTAGTATACAAATGGAGGTCCCAAAGTCAAAGGCTGTATCGGGACCTTCTCACGTTCACTCTGTAGGTGGGTTGAATGTTTTGTACATATATTTTTATTATAATGCTCCGAATTCGGTCTTTCATGATAAAAAATGTGTTTTTTTTTCTCATAAGCTGCTCCGAATTTGGATTTAGTGCTCCAAAAGTAACATTTTGCTGCTACAAAAATTCCTCAAAATTCTATCCTGGCTGTTACACCCCTGGCGATAGGTGTTCGTCCAGGTAGTTATGACATAGTTAAAACAACTCTGGATAAATGAGAAGATGAGTAATAATAATGCATTAGTGGAGAAACATGGCCTAGTTTTAATCAATGTACACAAAGCAAAAGCAGCCTTTTATTTATGTCTTAAGAAGTGTAGACTAAAATTAAGAGTTGTGTCTAAACGTACACCAAGAAAGGAAACAGTATCACAAGTATAGATAGTATTAGGACCCATAGTTACAGCAGCAGAAGTTAAGAAATGTTTTTGAGAAGACCTGAAAACCATGGACTGAGTTTTAGAGGTGTTGATAGACAGAGTTTAGTTTTGATATTAAAGATGGAACTGTTTTGGCCTTACATGATACTGTGGTGTCATTAGTGTGCAAGACACAATGTGCAGAGCATATGACATCAGAAATATCAGTAATATAAATAATAAATTAAAGGGGGCTAAGATTGAACTCCTGTGTAACACATTGATTAGTAATCGTATTAGAGTAAGAGCCACCTGTGAAGACCACATTTTTCCAGTTAATAGGTAACTTTTCAGAAACTTTAAAGGTGGTTCAGTAATACCATAAGAATCTACTCATTGAAAGGGGTGGAGCTCTATAACAGCTCTACTGTAAAATCAGCCTTTCTCTTCGCTTTCTGTCTCTCTCTCCTTTTGATTCTTTCTCTTTATCTTTTTTACCTTTCTGTCTGTTTCTTTCTGTACTATTCTTGACTCCCCTCTGTTTCTCCCTTGTATCTCCTCATCCTCGATTCCCTTTTGCACCCCCTTGGTATACTATGCTATACTATACAGTGCTCTGCTGTGCTAGCGTGCCTGGATAGTGGAGTGGTTACAATGCTTCCCTCTGGATTTTTGTTCGTATCTTGCCTCGCCAAGAATTACTCTCTCTTTCTCTCTGTACTCATTCTCTTGCCCATCAGAGCAATAACTCTGATGAGAGATGCAATAGTATTCCATACTGGACAAATTGGCAGACATGTTCTGGGAGCGAAGCAGAAGAGGAAGAAGTGAACAAAGATGAAAAAGAGGATTAAGAAAGCACAGGCTCATGATGATAATTCCCTTCTACAGCACAGGGTAGACATCAAACATAACAGCTCTGCTGTAAAATAAGTCTTGTGGATCTCCACTCACTCATGAAACCTTGGCCGTGAGGAAGCAGTGGCCCAAGGGTTAACAAACCGGGTCGCGCTTTTCTTTTGTAAAGACTACAAAAGAATGTACACTATACAAAACAGCAATCTTTCAAAAGAAACCTCATTGTTCTGCAGTCTTCACAGGTGGTGAAATTTACCAAATTAGTAAAAATTTCGATAAAAATTCTATAGCAAACTGTCATCTTCTCTAGGAACACAAAGGCTTTCCCCAACCAGAGATCTTCTGTCAGCCCTCTCAGAAATGACATGAGAGATCTTAATACTGCCTCCTGAAGAAAAACTGCAGAAAGCAGTCGATGCTTGAGCAAAAGAGGTTACTGGATCAAAGCGGCCATATGCTAAATGCGGGAAATTTCATTTTAATAAAGTTCTCTTTATCTCACCAACATTAATAGACCTGTTCGTAAAAAACTTTCCCTCGTATTCCATTTTTTCAGGCACTATATCTACTGTGATTTGTGACCACCTTCTTGTATATTTTATTGTGCCACAATACCATTATCAACCCAGACAGTCCGGCTTCTGGTATATTTTATCGGCCGGTGAATTTAAAATCTCTTTCGAACTTTCAGGTTGAAATTGAGCGAACAAAGTGAGACGAGTTGGTTTTCTTTGTCCTCGGCTTATTTAGCTTATGACTATTTCATGCAAACGTTCATTTCAGTTTACAATGAATGTTTTCCTCTTAGGGCTTTGAAAAAGCCAAAGCGTGGATGACTACTGGGATATTAAAAATGAAGAAAAAAAGACAAATTATTTCACTTATTTCTAGTGACCTGAAATTCATATGAATTCAAGGTATTTAAAAAATACAGAAATTCAGTTACTAAAGTACAATGCAAGCAAAACGAAATTATTAATATTCTATGTTTGGGAGGATGTCTGCGACAGCAAGCAAATGTGTAAAAAGTTGAACTACATCATATCTCTAGGAAGAGCTACAAATTATTTAGAACTGATAATTGACAATGAGGTTAGTAAAGGCAAAGAGTTAGCGGATAAATTTAATGAGTACTTCACATCTTTAACTGAAAGTTCATATCAAACAAGTGCTTTTGAGTAGTTACTAGCACTGCTCAAGAAATCGATATTTTTTGTCCAATGGATGAAGATGAGGTAAAAAGAGTGTTTAAAAAATTTTAAGATGTCTAAGAGTGAGAATTTAAATAGCCTAAAAATGGAAGTGATAAAACATGTTATTGATCGTCTATGTCTGACGCACATTTACAACATTTCCTTAAAAAGTGGCATTTTCCCACAGAATATGAAGGATGCTAAGGTGACGGTGTTCCATAAAAAAAATCAAGGTAAAAACACTAATTACAGGCCAATTTCAATTCTCCCGCTTTTTTCCAAAGAATCTGAAAAAATTATTCATACTAGACTATTGAAATTTTTTGGCAAACATTCCACAATAACTCGATCACAATATGGTTTTAGATCGGGCTTCTCAACCAAAAGAGCTCTATTGTTTCAAAAGGAATTGATTCTCAAAAATATCGAGGCCAAAAAGTTCACACTGAGGATATTTTTAGATATGTCGAAAGCATTCGACAAAATAAACCACAAAACATTATTATGAAAACTGCAGTGTTATGGAATTTGTGGTATAGCCCTAAATCTGATCAAAAGCTACCTAACAGACACACCAGTGTGTATCTATAAGCAGGGAAATTTCTTCAGTGCAAACTGTTGAAGATGGTTTTCCTCGAGGCAGCATATTGGGTCCGCTTTTGTTCATCATATTTAAAAGGATATTGCACATGTTGACCTTTCAGTCCACTATATTATTTATGCAGACGTCACAAGCTTAGTTTTTTCCAGGTATGAATGTTAGTCATCTCGGAAATACAGATAACTCAACATTACAAAAGATATAAAGCTGGACCCTTAAAATTTTCTTACTTATAAATTGTTCTAAAACAAAAGCTGTTCTTTTTCGCTCCAAATCCCCTTCTTAATGAAGTCACTGAATCTTGCAATCTCATGTTAAATAGCAGCATAATCGAATTCTCTTCTACCGCGAAGTCTTTGGGCGTTGTTTTCCATGAGCACATGAAATGGGATTATCATGCAGAATTTTTATACAGCAAGCTTTGCAAAGTCATAGGTGTTTTTTGACAAAATGTCAGGGTCTATTGCCAGTTCCTCAGAAAATTTTGATATTTAATGCACTCTTTACATTACATCTGAGTTATTAGAACTTAATTTGAGGTAATGGAACAAAGCAATCTATTAGTAATCTTATTGTCTTACAGAAAAAAGCGCTACGTTCTGTTGCTAACCTCCCTTTTAATGCCAGTACTTCACAAATATTCGTTAAATATAAAATAATCAAATTAAACCTGCTCTACGTATATTCCTTAGTAATGTCTTTTAGATCTGATACCATAAAAGGTCGCGGTTATATACATAGTTTAGCTATTTTACAATTAAATCCTTCGAGGCGGCTAAACCGACACTCTGAACGTTGGCATGTGCCGAGACCATGCACAAATTATGGCTGGGAGACATTGCGTTACTGCTTGCCGAATACACTAAATAAATTGAGAATTAATTGTGGAAATGTTTGTATGCTCTCTCATACCTCTTTTTAAATATGCTTTATTAGTTTATGTATATAGTATTATTTTCTGTTTGTATGCTTCTTACTTTCGATGTATAGCATGGGCGTTGCTGGTTTGTATAAGTTTGTATAACTTCTTTGTTCTGATGCAAAGCATGTGCATTGCTGGTTTAAACTGTCTTGTGGTTTATTTTGCTTTCGCCGTTTTCTTGTCACTGTGGGATGTGGGGATGTGGGGCATTGTCAAGCTCTTTTTATACAGCTTTTTTCCCCTACCTGTCCTAGTCACTTACAGTGCAACTGTACGTAGTAAATAAACTCAACTCAACTCTGAAACTGCCAAAGCAAGCTGTTGACAGCTGCTGAAGTCAAAGCCTGCTCTTTGCAATGCCATCTCTGGCAGCAACTGCCGTTTTTATCAATAACTCTGCGTGAGTTTCAAAACTAGTATAAAAGGATCAAAGCAACCTGGTTGTAATAACCATTCGTGCTGTACAGAAGTAGCCGGTTCATTTTAATTAGTAGTTATGCAGATGCATGTAAGCATATTAGTAAGACGCCCTCACCGAGCAGGTGCTCAACAATGAATGACACGGAATAGCAAGTCGTCTAAACAGTTGTTCACACTCGCATATGTTTAAAAACAATGTCATTGTAATACCCTGGCCTAGCTGATTTAAAGGTTCCCATCATTTATCTCTGGTTTGAATTAAACTCAAAATAATCAAAATGAGTTCATGCATTTCAGCATTGGTTCTTCCATTTGGACTAAAGCCCAATTTGACTGCATAAGATGGAGGCAAGTCAAAATTTGGAAATACAAAAAGCACCTTGGTTGAAAATCGAATAATACGAGATCTGTGAGGAACTGCTTTGTCCTGCTCTACTCGCGCAGCACCTTGACTATAGCAGTGGGATTTCCACTGACTAAACTTTTGTGTTTGTCTTTTTTTTTTTCAGATAAACCCAAATTTTGCCATCAAGTTGATTGCAGAAGTACCTCCCAAGGCAGTCAACGCCCGTACAACATGGTGTGATGGCGGCACTGGAGCCCTGGGCCATCCCAGGGTTTTCATAAATTTGGTAAGCGTTGCATCATTCTGGTTTGTTATTATCTTGTATATTCAATAGACAGTGCAGCAGAATTATTGTACAACAAGCTCTTGAGGTGCCCTTTGTTAAGAATTTCTGTGCTGCTGTGAAGGATCCCTAAATATGATCTTGCGCTTTATTTGCTGCTATACTTCGTGTGAGCTCATGGAGGTGAAAATGCTTGAGGATCGTGTGTTATGTAGGTTAGAGAACCTCAGGTTGTGGAAACTTGTGGAGCCTTTTGCTCCAGAGTCTTTCATAATCATATTGCAGTTTTGGGACATTAAACCCATGAGGATTATCATTACCATTATAACTGTGTGCCATATTTTTATATTTTGCTTTCAAGCTAGTTTTGCAACATGAGCCAGTGGTTTTGGCGACTGTGACATTTCAAATATGTCCTACCAGAGCTGCATGATGCTATCGGCTTGACTCAGCTTCATTATGCTGTCTTGACTAGTTGGCCCAAGTAAAGCAATATGAGATACTTCAGTATAAGGGCATCACTCTTCTCTCAAGTAAAGGTTATCTTAAAGACAGGGTCCTTGATATCAAGGGGGGGGGGGGGGGGGCTGTGTTTCTCCATTTAAGGGATGGGGCTGCTCACTAGCGGTATGCGCACACAATTATAGCTCTCATCTTTATCTTACACGCACACACACACACATGTGCGTGAAAGCATGCATGCACACACAAAGTAGCTGCATAGAAACTGCACATGTGGGCTTGGTGGCCTTTCTTAAAAAAACAGAGACTATCTGAGGGTCCAAGTACAGCCAATGCTGGAATATTGCTTTTGCATATTGAACACCAGCTCACAAGTATCTTATTCCAATGTGTAGAAATGTTGGCTCCTAGGTTCACTCCTGCACATCAAGACCCATTGCAGGATTTCTAGTGTACATACCAGCATGGAGTCACATGACCACCTAGCATAGGTTAAGGGGGGTTAAGAGCCCCCCAATCCGTGCGGCTTCATGGGGGACAGAGCCTGTTCTGGCACCAGGCTGGGATACTATTTAAGAGCTTGGCTTGGGTCCATTGACAACAGTTCATTGACAACAGACTGTTGGCGATTCTGTTTTGCAGCTATTTCACCACCGGGCGGCTTAAATATTTTGATTATGGGCCAGTAAAAAGTTTAAAGAATATGTTGTGTTGATGAACAAGGCACTAATATTAAAAACTATATTTCTCGTACTAGCTAACTACTCTAAGACTGTATCAAAAACACCACGCTTATGACGAGAAGATACTTGGTAAGCAAGAAAATGTGCAAAAAGGAAACCGGATAGCGACGCCACCTTGTAATTTTGGCACCAATCGCCATGAAGTCATTGACTTTGACAAGGTCTCCTAGGTTTTACGTGATTCCTAATCATAATAATAAATATTGGGCACGAGGCCCACCACTGGAGACGCGAGCGCTGCAATCATTGTGACGTGCATAGTTGGATCACGTGATCTCGCCTCACTCTTACAAAGGAAAGTTAGCGGTTGGATGCGTTGCTTTTACCGCGACTTCGGGGTGTTTTCATTCTTGAACAGCATTGTTTTGCTCTGGCTTCATGTGTCCAGACTTCTGCAGAATTCACAACCCGGAAAGTTGCAGTAAAAATTACCGGCGGCATGTCACAGTGCACCACGTACGTGAGGGCACTGTCACGGCCACTGGCTGTGCCACTGTCACCTCTCTCTTTCTCTTTACTTGAGGTTTTTATTTCAAGCCAATGGGGTTAAAATGAGCTCAGACCATGAATGATCCCTGTTATGACCCTCAAGCGAGGGTTGACAGTATTATTAAATAAAAATAAAAAAAATAAAAATCACATGAAAGCAGAATGTTTGTTTTCTCACGGAAGCCTCGTTCACAACAAAAAATGAATGTGCAAACAGTCTGATTATGTATAAAATAAGACGTAGGTGTGTCTACGTGTGCGGAAAGTTGCCGTCATTACATTCAAGAATGTGCGCCGTTGTCGGAATTGTCAAAGAGTCAAGATATAGCACGAAAGTCCAGTTCTTTCCCCTTTAGTTTCGGTAATTTTACCCCATTCCGGTCGATTTCCTGGCCAGTTGCTTCTGCGTTTTGGGCCAGTGCGTTCAAGGAAACCATCTTTCTTACATCGTACATGTGCCGCTGCATTTATAAAGCTTACTTCTCTCGCCAAGGTAACCTAACCACAATCTGTGCCACTCCCACCCTCCTCCCTGGCTGTCCGTCCCTATCTGTGTACCCGATCACATGAGTTTCCATCCGCCAGTAGCATAGCCAAGGGGTGACACGCCAAGCTCGTTCCCCCCCCCCCCCCCCATTTTGCCCCTTGCGTATAGCGCACAAAATAATGGTCTACCACATCTGCCAGCGCGGTCCCAATTCTAATCAAGCTGGCACCCCCCTAAAAAAAAAACGATTCTGCCAACGTTCCTGCTATCTTCAACTTCAGCTCACAGGGTTCCTCGCTTATAGATTACGCCTGAACGGGCCCATAGACACCGTTGCCTCCTCTGAATGTTGTTTTGATTTACAGTCGAAAACGTGGTCAGCTTCGAGAACTGATTCATTTTCTAAGAGCTGAGGCGAAATATCACACAGTTCATGAATTAAGCCGTTAGAAAAAAAAAAACAGGACACTGGCAATTTCACTGAAACATGAAATTGTCATTTAGATTAGGGTGCGTAAGATCTCGCAGCATGCTCATTCAAGGGTGCAAAATGATACGGCTGGCTGATCGCATTTTTTTTTAATCAGAATTTACCCTTTGGTAGAAGCTTTGTAACTGAACCAGTTATACATAATTCATTTTCACCCATGTGGGGATCGATGGCGATCGAGTGTACGTGTGACCGCCGTAGAAATTTAGTGCAATAAATATTAGGATCATGCCACAGAGAAAAGAGACAACTCTGAATGAGGCACGCGCGTGCGTGGTTCTAATGTTTGCCCACAATCATAACAGAAAAGTTGTGGCTGTAAGAATGCTGTGCTGTTTCCCACAAAGCGAGGAATTCGCTTGTGCTGTGCTTCGTAGGGCTATGTACGCTAAACAAAAATTTTCCCATGCTTGTCATGTCAACCTTGGTCCATCTGTGAGGGCAAACCTACAATGAATGAATGTGAGGGCAAACCTACAATGAATGAAGTAAAGTGGTCGTGCGCATTTCTGGCAGCAAAGATAAGTTTCTTTATCGTTAATACTAATTTGATGTTTCATTTCGACACGGCATGCCTCGTTACCTTTTACAGAAGCAGCGCGCTCGCCCCCTGTGGTTTCATTTCGCTGGCCATAGCAGACAACACCAGCAGTCAGACATTATGAGAAGCGCAATGCTTTTCCGGGGCAGTTGTTTAGTACTTCTTAAAGTCAGGGAAGAAGGTCCAGCAGTACTTTACTGATTTCTTTGAGCGAAGTACCACAACAATAACGATAAAAAAAGCAGACGCGATAGTGCCTGCGGGCTGTGCGCGGGAGGGCGGAGGAGCGATCCCACTACGCATGTCGCAGGGACGCTTCAGCATGGTGGCACTACGGTATAGTCTCGCGCCCAATATTGTCCTCCTAGTGGACCCTCCGAGGACAATACAGCCATTTTCAATAAACTGAACCTATCAAGTTTTAGGAAATGTCTTGTAACCAATGCCACCAAAATACAAAAAAAATGTGCTTTAAAATCCTTGATGTCAAAAGCGGCGATTTTGGCGCAAGATTTCAAAATAAAACATTCTTAGTCTTCTTATAATAACCCCATGATGGTGAAACTAACATAAGTGTTCTCAGAGGACAATTTAGCAATCTAAACCGATTTATTGTTTCACTTTAGTGTCCCTTGAAACCAGGACAAGTTAAAGGAACAGAGAGTAAACATATATTAGCGATTCCTTAACCCTTAAAACAAAAGTGGGTAGAGCCCTTTATCCAGTGCTTCACTGGCTTTACTTGCTAAAAGAAGGCCCCACCGTGGTGGTCTAGTGGTTATGGCGCTCGACTGCTTACCCGAAGATCGCTGTATCGAATCCCGGAGGCGGCTGCATTTTTGTTGGAGGCGAAAATGTTTAGGCTTGTGTGCTTAGATCTATGTGCATGTTGAAGAACATGAAGTGGTCAAAATTTTCCGTGCCCTCCTCTACGGTGTCTCTCATAATCATATGGTGGTTTTCGGGCGTTATACCCCGGATATTATGATTATTTGCCAATAGAAGTTTTGGACCTTATTGTGACTTATTTTGAGAAATTAAAAATGTTTCTCATACAGGGTGAAATCCTTGAAAACCCTTGAGTTAGAAAAACTGGTTTTCAAAGCCCTTAAAAGTCCTGGAATTTTTTCTCGTCCTTGAAGATCTTTGAATTTCCTAAGCAGTGCACTCCCAGATAGGCATTTCAACCTCCTTAATATAATAGATTGCCGTCGATCTGACAATCTCCCCAGTTCATAAACAGTTATTTACCATGAGCGCACATGGTTGTGTTGGGCAAAAAAAAATTCAGTTTGTCTGTCGGTGTGGCGTAGCAATGAATGCTGTCTCTATCATTTATAAACCCAACCACTCTTGTAAGCATTCAGTACGTGTTGTGTTTTTAAGAACATATCAAAGGCTACTAGACGTTTTTTCATAATTGTGATGTCCATTTAAATAATAATGTCTATTTACATAAGTACAATAAAACTAGCCATATTTGAAGATTTTAGACGAAAAAATTCCAAGTTTGCATGGCGCTTTGAGACCTTAAAAAACCTGCAACAGGTCCTTGAAAGTCCTTGAATATCCTTGTATTTTCGCTTTGGAAACCTGTACGAACCCTGTCATATTATACAATACAAGCATCCCAGATGCTTTGTCATTCAATGAATGCTTTCGCAGACTTGCTTACCGATCAAAAGTAATTTTCTGTTTCTCCGCCATGGTGGTCTAGTGGCTAAGATACTCAGCTGCTGAGCCGCAGGTAACGGGATCGAATCCCGGCTGTGGCGGGTGCATTTTCAATGGAGGTTAAAATGCTGTATGACCGTGTGCTCATATTTGGGTGCACGTTAAAGAATAAAAAAATCCCAGGTGGTTGAAATTTTCAGAACCCTCCGCTATATTGTCTCTCATAATCATGTGATTTTGCGACATTAAACTCCACATACCAATGAATTTCCTGGTTGTCTACAAATGGGTAACCTTCACATGCCTACCTGTAAAAGTTCCGAGAAAAGATGTTACGCATATTTTATGGATCTGTAAAGGGTTTAATTTCACTAGGCTTAATTTCACTAGGTATATTTAGGCTCTGGATCGCTCGTTCGGAATTCAGTCAAGGGCATCTCAACATGGCTTTCGCTTGACTTGATGCTTTACTTGATTAGAGTAGATGCGATGGAAGCAACAGTACCTTCAACCAGAAGTGGGGCACAACCCAACATCAGCATCCCTCCACTCGTTGAAGGCAACGCTTCTCCCACATTCAATATATAAGAATAATAAAGACGAAATAACAATTAGGCATTCGAAAATCATACCCAATAATGCAACATTCACGCTATACCTCCACCAATCTGCAACGCATTTACTCGAGTTCCTCCCGTGGGAAGATGCGGGTGGCTTTTCTTTTTCGTCTCTTCAGTAGGGCATCGATTTGCAACTGTGCAAACACGGTACAGATCTACTGATGCCGGCCAAGTGTGGAATCTGCTATGCGCGGAAATAAAAAAATTCTGATTTCTCGCGAGCAAACTGGGGGTGTGCCTATTATGTGAGTAAATATGGTAATTTATGGCAACATTGGCAGAATATTGATTTTTGTTAAAATGAAGTGAAACATGACTGAATTTAGTTTTGTCAGCAGTATTATTGATTGAATTGTTGGGTTTAACATCCGAAAACTACACTAAGGCAGTGTAATACACTAGTAGGTGTCTCAGGGTTACTTCTCGGCCATCTGGATTTCTTAAAATGCACCTAAGTCACGATGCCGTCGTGGTGGCTTTGTGGTTATGGTGCTTGGTTACAGACCCCAAAAAAAGGCTGGTTTGATCTCTGAAGTCGCATCCTTGCACAGCAGTTTGATTCCTTCAAAAGCGAATCGCTGTGGTCAGATTTCGATACAAGTGAAATGAGGGCATTCATTTACTTCGCGTTTTCAATGCACATGAACGAACACCAGGCGATCGAAATTATCCGGAGCTGTCCTCTACAATGTCTCTCGTAGCCTGAGTCGCTTTGGCTAGTTAAATCCCGTAAACCAACCAACCAGCCAAAGTACGTGAGCATGCTTAAATTTCATCCACTTCAAAATGTGGGTCTGGGTTACCCATGTAATTTTAAGGCTTCATGTATTGAACAAAGACGTAGCAAGTGCAATTAACAATGTAGGCTTGTGATTTTCTTCTACCACGAAAAATACAGTTGGGGCAACATAGCATTGATTGGCACTCTGTGTGCTGTAGTAGTGCTCAGTGCATCACAGACCTAGCACAAATAAAAAGCTTACAAGTTACAAATCTGTCTTCACAGTATTTAGAAATGCTTTACATCAAATAGTAGGTAATTGTATACGATGTGATGTAAAGATGCAAATCTGCCAGATGTGGCATGCTTGTTCATGTGTTCATTGAGTGCAGTTCATAACGGGGGCAGCACCATGGGGAGGTCAGGGGGGGTTGAGGGAACTGCCCCTGTAAGAGCAGCAAACTTATGAAAAAACAAGGTCACCTCCACCCCCTTTTGAACAAAACTCTGGCACCATCCTTGGTTCATAGTACCAAGTGTGCATACTCATTCTGATGCATGGCTATGATATAAGTACGTTTTTAAAAATTGTGTTGCTTTGTGTAAGTTTTTTGCTGTACCTTGAAACTTTTTGATTTCCTGTGCAGGATGCACCTGGCAACCACACCTGTGGCTACTGTGGTCTTCGATTCTACCAGGATCACTCAGCTGAAAACCACTAGGAATTGGAATTCTATTTCCTTGTTTTAAATTGAAATATTATCTTTTTAAATTAGAGTTTATTTGGTTTTTTTTTTCAGCATACAAGGACTATGAGAAATTCGTGGCTCGTCTAAGTGATTAATTTTTGGCCGGTTGACATGGACATAACACCATGTGAAGTGTCTTGGCCAATTTGCCATTTGTAGTACTCCCCACAGTTACAGGTATGAGTTGTAAAATGGAAATGTAAAATATATGTTAATAAAGAGTTCATTGTTCTGTCATATCAGCCTGTCTTGTTGAGTATTGTTCAATACACTTGGTATTTTCTTGTTATAACTGCGACATGATGGACATGGTGCAAGATGTAAAGGGTACACAGTTTCTCTACAATCTACATGATCCACGCGAGTACTAAAAGTAAGTATATATTATGTAAGCTTGTAGTTGACTGCATTAGGGCTAGTTGGTGTAGCAGTTGTTAGTCGTTCACGATAAAGGCATAATATAGGCGTGCAGCTACGGAGCAGAAACCTGGAGACTTACAAAGAGGGTTCAGCGCAAATTGAGGACGACGCAGCGAGCAATGGAAAGAAGAATGGTAGGTGTAACCTTAAGAGACAAGAAGAGAGCAGAGTGGATTAGGGGACAAACGGGGGTTAAGGATATCATAGTTGAAATAAAGAAGAGGAAATGGACATGGGCCGGGCATGTAGCGCATAGACAGGATAACCGCTGGTCATTAAGGGTAACTAACTGGATTCCCAGAGAAGGGAAGCGGGTTAGGGGGAGACAGAAGGTTAGGTGGGCAGATGAGATTAAGAAGTTTGCGGGTATAAATTGGCAGCAGCAAGCACAGGACCGGGTTAACTGGTGGAACATGGGAGAGGCCTTTGTCCTGCAGTGGACGTAGTCAGGCTGATGATGATGATGATAGGCGTGCAGTAATATGACGAGGCAGTATTTTTTTACTTAAGTTAACCACAGGGAACCATACAGCCAATATTAAATTAACGGCATTTTTTAGTAAACCAAAGCACTTCAAGCGTTTATATGCCGCCCTATGTCCGGGCACTGTCATGGTCGTTTCCTTGACTCGATGTATACCAAGAGTGGTACAGGAGGTTATGCATGTATGATGAATGTGGCCCACCAGCATGAATAGAGTGACATGCCTGCTGGAAAACATCAGGAAACACTTTCTCCAAGTTGCGTGTATTATATACCTACAGACCACAGCCCATGTTATATGGGTATGCACCACAGGACTCAGTCAGAATGAACGCAACACAGTAAAAAAGTCTATCCACCTCGTAACACTTGGCTCAATCAAAGTGTGGCAGGCAGTTACTCGCACGAGCTTCCCACAATATGTGAAATCTGTTCGAATTTTTAATTCCCCCTACTCCTGAAAATGTTGCATTTGTGGCACTTTTGTTTTATAATGTTTCAAGAAAAAATTTATTAAGCTCAACCAGTGGAATGAATAATAATATAAGGGGTGGGCTGACCTACTTGTATACAGACTAGTGGGGACATCCCTTGTAAATGTCCCCCCTTGGAGGACCACACTAGTCAAATGAATAACTTTAGCCTCCTTGGTGGTTATACTTTTATTGTACAGAATGTTTTGCATTCAACTTTTTAACAGCTGTTTATTTTATAGTGCTACCTGTGCTCTATACCTTTTCCGCTGTGAATGAGTGTATTGAAAATTTAACTGTGGAACCTGTTTCCGAGAAGACTCTGAGTAGTTCAATACAGAGATATGCTGAGTGTATCCCGTGCTTTTTTTTAAACATGATTCTAATTTTCATATAATAAAAAATAAAAGCTATACCTATTACTTACAAAATAGCCACGATGGAGAGATCTGTGTACCCCCTGCAATTTTCTGGTCTGGATTGACACTACTGGGCCCACCATATGCCGTGATGTATATAATAATTGAATGGAAGTAAACAAGTAATTGCGCAGAGAAAGAAAATTTTATGCAAGATCAATAGAGCAGTACTTCAAGGTTGATTAGTGAAAATGATGCAAATTTTTATTGAAAGCACTGATGTTAACAGAAGCTTATATAGTTTGATACATGCCCTGAAAGGGCATGCCTATTTTCAGGCAGGGCATGCAACCCTTTGTTGCAGATTTAAGGGTCATTTGCCAACATGCAATACAACTACTTTGAGGATTAAATGGCCCAATGTGTTTATGGCAACAGGAAATCTAACAAAAGATTAGACAACATAAAAGAAATCTAAAGGAAATCTAACAAAAGATTAGACAACATAAAAGCCTCGTTTAAGATAGTGCAGGTGCCAAACTTTTTCAACCCACATTTTGACACTAGAAATACTAGAGGTTACAAAATGAAACCCTTTCAAAATTAAACATTTTTTAGTGCTAAAAGTGGAAAAAAAAAAAAGAAATGCCACCCCTACTGTTTGCCAGAAATTTAGCACAACTTCAAGCACATGGTTTCTCAGTATGGCTGCAGAGCTAAGGTGAGATCCACTAACCTGGCCTTGCATCTGCACCATTGCAACAACCACAAGATGCACTTGTCAGCTATGTGCTCTTTAAATGGTAATAACATGAAAACCATACAATTACCATACCGGCAGCATTGCCAAGACTACTTCAGTGGTATGTACTACTTATTAAGTTTAACTACTGTAAAATTCTAAACAAGTAGTATTACCAGAAATTTGATATGTACATCAATGACCGAGCAAGTGGCACCCCTCTCCTGTTTTTTCTTCAACATGTTCTTCGTTCCAGAATTGAGCTGCAGCAGTTCCTAAGAACCCAAGTTCTGAGTGTCTTTATGTGCATCTTAGCGCTTCTATAGTGTGGTGCTTCGGGGTTGCACTCTCAGAAATCGTTACATTTGACTAATGTCCTTCCCCTTTGTCATAACCCATAAAATTCCACAGGAGGATTGCATGTTCAATTCCACAGGAGGACATGCATGTTCAATAAAGTATTCCATAAGAGGCAGAGACATGCATTATTCTTGGAGACTCTTCTATTACCCTCTTGAATTTTGGTCAGTGATTAAGCAAGGGCCCCCTCCAAACCTTATCCGATTCTCTTTCACTGCAGGGGGAGAAGCACTTGCTTGGAATTTTACGGCAATAGTGCCCCAAAGTTGTATTCCCCGGTCGTAATGGTCATCACATCGTCACATAGTTATGCAAGTAGGTATGATAAACTTGAATACAATAGAAGAATGGTTGAATTAGCATTATTTGAATACAATGATGAATAGAACATTAGAGCATCTTCTGTATTTAGCTTGTTATAGTTATTAAAGCCAAACAATCATTTTGAAGTCAATAAAACCATTCAAGTGCTATACTATGATCTGCATCCACATTTATTGTAGGTGTCATATATACATGTATCACAGCTAAGTTGTACAGTGAAGAAGCACTAAACTGATGGCACTGTAGCAATGTCAGCTAGCACAGAAATTCAAAAAGAATTTGATTCAACAAAGACAGAAATAACTTGTACAGGGCTGAGTGGTTCCACAACAGACATCAATTATTGCAAGTTGAACCACTTCATAGACACCAAACTAAAAAAATCTGTGTGCCTACAAGAGTTAATTCACAGTACCACAAACGTTTTCATAGGAACTTAACGGAAGTGGCATTAGAAGGCTTAGTCTTTGTGTACGGCTGCCTATCATCGATATGCCATTGTAATGCAATATAAAGATGGTGCAGGTCACTAAAACCCCACTGAAAACTTCTTCAATAAGTTTAAATGAAGCAGGGCCAACACAAACAGCACAAGAAAAAAACTACAGCCAGCACTGTTCTGTTCATCAATATTCCAGCACAGGAATAAGCAGGCAGTAGCATGAAGCCGGCGCAGCCGAAGTAGGGCATTTGCAGGCAAATCGTAAAAATTTGGCAAATTGATATAAATTTTAAACTACATTAAAAATCGTGTTTAGTTTCAGCCAAAATGCCATCTTAGGTCAAAACTGTCACGTCGGCCTTCAGATGGAAAGTTGCAAGGGAAAGGCAAGGGGTATGATTCCGTGCTGGGGGCCGCATTCAGCCCGTGGGTTGCCGATCCCTGCTCTAGCTAATCCAGAGCTGGTATTCTGCAAGATTCCACCAATAGGACAGTCCGTTTCACCACACGTTGATTAGATGGGGCTCTGGAGCATTGGTTGTGAGTGACATCACTCTGCCACCTGTCAAGCTCTATCCAATAAGTGTTCGCCGAAACAGGCTGTCCACTTAACGGGCTCTTACAGAAAACACCTCTAGGTCTTGTAGACTTCATTAAAGCAAGAGAATTAGCCAAAGTGAACATTCTTTTTTTACCAAACACTGCTGACACACTCATTGCTGTACTCTGCAGTATGGAGCTCGCACCAAGCGAGAACTATGTTCACAACAGATATCAGACTGTCAATATATCCAAACACTGTAACCACTTTAAAATGTTAACACTAAAAGCACGATATGTATCTTCAAGATGCATGGATCAACATGCACATACACAGTTTATGCACACATCCCGCACAATGAAACAAAAACTCGGCAGGTCATTGTAAACAATGCACACACAGAAAAAAAAACATGCAGAGCAGTTGATGCAAAGATTAACAGAAATGGCAGAAACACTAGTTTCAGCACTATTTCATTCTTGCCACATAAGCTACACATTCAAACTTTTAAAATTTTACCGTACTATGCCATTACAAATGCATCTTTACAAACACTCTTTGCTAGGGCACTTCCAGCAGCATTATTTCCTTTGTCAACACTCCCCATGCCTTCGGCAGATTGTTGAAAGGCACACGATTGCATAATTGGCTTTTGAATGGTTGGAAATGCATAGACCAAGCATACAAACCACCATATCAATCTTTCTTGAGGAAAGCTTTATCCATTTATTTTTTTTTTATTGTAACTATGGACTAACACGTAACACTGACCAGTAATAAAAATAAGGACAGGTTAATTTTTACCCCTATAGCAATAAGCTTACCCTCTCACTAGAACTTCCGTATGTATCACAGATCCTGGATGCCTGTCAAGGTGATTACCCAAGATCAATTTTTTCACCTGTCGGCTTCACAAGTACGCTCAAAGCTAAACTTTTCTTTTCAGTGAGGCTGTATTAAAGAAGCTTAAATAAGCGCTAATTTTAATAACTAATATATCACACTACATATGGTCGTCTCTTGTTGCTCATGAACAAATATTCGAAATGGCATCTATGTCAACCAACATACATGCACTATAAATTAGTCTTCTGTAGCACGTTAGTCGAGATTATTCCAAGAGTATAATTTTAGCTTGATAGAAAAGCAGGTTATATTACACAAATATATCATAATGTTAACAAGAAAAAGAAATATTGGTATTGATTGCCCAATGTGCAATTTACAATTCAGTGAACCTCATGAAAAAAAAAACTGTGCTCTCATCTCCCAGAAAAGAACTGTATGAGACCTTTTCTCATGAAAAGTGTGTAAACACAGAATGAAGTCCCATGGCAACTGCTTGTATGCCACAAAAAAAGAAGTAGAACACTTAATGAAGACAGAATGAAGTCCCATGAAAACTGCTTGTATGCCACAAAAAAAGAAGTAGAACACTTAAATTTGCAACTTGAATTGTGATTTGCTGTAGCAAAATATGCTTCCTATGTACCTTACTCTTACCAAGTGCAATGATTTAAGAATTAATTCTGTAGTTCTGACCGGGTCTACTACGACCCGACTATGAGCTGTGCCACAGCAGGAGACCTTAGGTTGGCTTTTAACACTTGGAGTTCTTTAAAATGCACTTAAATCTAACTAATCAAACATTTTTTGCATTATGCCCCGATCAGAATGTGGCTACTGTGGCCGGGTTCACCCCCGTGACCTTGAGCTAAGCAGTCATAACGCCATAGCCACCGATTGCCATGGTAAAACAATACTTAGACAGCTTTAATAAAAGACTAGCTTTCTATGTTTGAATGTTTCCATGCCAATATTAAATTACCATGGCATTAGCCATAAAGGTTTCTTCAGTGGCAACCACACACTTCTGCTATAAATTCTACAAGTTGGGAACGCCACTGCACAAGCACTAAGAGAAAAAAACAAAATCATAATGGCACCAACATTTTTAAATATTTTTCTGCAGTACGTCCTAAAAAAAGTTAGCCTGCCGACAATACTAAAATGCAGCTAGCAATCATGGATATACAAAGAGGAAGCAGTCTGAACAGTTTGATTTTAAGCATACTTAGCTGTGACATTTAAGACATCACTACAAAGCTATTCTGCAATGGCCGCAAGCTTCAATTTCCAGACTGTGCCAATAAAGCTTGTCCTCCTCACCAAAATCATAGTTTAAAACCCACAACGATGAAAAACCTCTTGCCTAGTGTTATATACAGTGCTCAAAAAGCATAAAAGTAACACACTCAACACTAAACTGCATGAGCTAGATTTACCCTGTACAACACAGAATCCAGGAACCACACAAGAAGGGATGTCAACATATGTGCATATATTGACCTGCAGTAAGCAGTAAGTGACGACAGACTGTATATTGTACTATGAACTTTCAAAAAGTACTATAGTATCTTGCACAATGTGCTTGCAAAAAGAGTGGCTGATGCATTTATGGCCAATGGTGTCATGAAAAACTGCATATTTCTAACTGTTTAAAAAAAAACTACTGCTTGAAGTGTGCAGTGCACCCTGGCTGAGGCTAACAACTACATTAAGGCAGGCAGTCTGCCTAGACTTTGGTAAAGACATCGCCCCTCGGCATTTAGCAGCAGACACCTTGAACAAAGCATAAACGCAGCCAAAAAACAGCACCCTCCAAACATGGTGCAGTCATTGAGAAGTCCTTGGCTGAACAGTGGAAGACCATACAGGACACAAGGCTCTGGTTTTGCTCAAGGGATAGATTTAAATGACTTTTTCAAGGGAAATTTGCTGAGAATACAGCAAAATGAACCACTTGACTATGAAAATAAATGGCGACAAGGTGGCCTCCAATGCCAGGTAAAGCAGAAATGAAAATACAATCATGTTAGCTTTCCATCTACTTCCACCCTGTGTCTAACTTCACTTTCTTCTCACTACAATATTTCATACTGCATCGTCCCTTCCGATTCCTTGAACTCTGATCATTCAACCATTTCACGCCACAAGTTGGGAAGTAGTGAATAATTAATAAATAGACATAGCTTCTCAAATGGATGAACACATAAATTCTTGGATGTGAACAGGTCAGCTTCCCACATGGACACAAACACACAGGTTCAAAACATGACTTTGGCAGCAAACGCTGCTATAACAATAGCTGCATAAAAAAGCAATTAGGATGTCCTGTACACAGCCTTTACTACAAATCTTAGTCCTAAGAAAAACCTGTGAGACTATTCTTCCCACACGAGAAGATAGCCTACTCCAATCGGGCCTTGTGTAATGAGAAGTATAAATAAGCAAAATCTAAATGTCCATTTTTTTTACTCAAAACAACATAACAATGCCATTCTCAACACTGCAAAGAGAAGCTACAATATAATCGGAACATATAAATGGCTTAACTTTGAAGCTACCAACTGTACTATAGGTGGCAGAAAAAAAATGCCTACAGAGCTGTTGTATAAAAAATAAATAAAAACTAAAATAAATTACTACAAATTTTCATCAACACAAATTTTTACCAGTGGCTTGACATGCAGAAAGCCAATTGCAAAGACGGGCTCCAGAAGGACACTCAAAGTGCTGGCCAGCCAGGTACTTGTGAAGTTCCTTCCAGATGTAATAAGATGCAATACTGAACTGCACATACAGAGCACAAAATGCATAAATATACACATAACAATGCAATGGTACTTGTATAAACAATGCTGTAGCATTGACACCACTCCCTCTCCAATCTCGGTAAAATCTAATTCAGCATGATACTTAAAAAGACAGAAGAGGCAGGACATGCACAGTTTTTGCAGGTCAAGCTTGCACATGCTACAACCACAAAAAGTTGCTTACAAAAATGTAATGACAAAGATAATATAAAAATAAAATAAAGGTGGATAAAATCCTGCATTTTTTGCTAATCGTTGCTATTAGCTTATGCCGGTCTTGTGCACTGGTGACTTGATACTAAAAACTAAATGCATTTCAAGCATATGAAAAGAAAAAGCTATGGATTCGCCAACTAATATGTGAACACAATTAAGAATAAATAAAAGCAAGGCAACAACATGCAGAGGTAGGAAAATCCATAAAATACTCCGAAAAGAACAATTTACATTCTCTGTATGTCAGTGGCTGTGGCCTGCACACACTCATGTAACCAGTAAGAATGTCACCTCAGCGACACTGCTATCTTAAGTAGACATTTCGATGTAATAAACACAGTGGCTCTTTCATACTCCGAGCAATCACACACTAAATGTTTCAAGTTGGTGCTCAAAAACCATGTATGTGGTGCTAAAGGAGCACTGACATCAAATTTCAAGATCGAGATGTGCCCGTCATTCGATCACTTGGTATGCATAGGTCTTCTTGGCCAAATTTGAATGGCATCCGTAGCGTCGAAGATATTTTATTTTGACGTCAAACAGCGTAGAAAAGCTAAGGAGAAAAAACGAAAAATAGACTGCCCTGCGACATCGACACTAGTGCTACGTTTTCGTTGTGATACATTCCACAAATACCATCCTGGGTGACGATACCCTAGTAACGATGACGTCGACGATCTCCGAGTGTGTTTGGAGCCGACTCTCAGACATCCTATCACTAGTGGCTCACCTTGCTATGTTTAAGCGTGCATGCAATACATCGTGTGGCATCAACTGATTTTTGTTGTGCTCCACTGCGTGTGAGTACGATCATTAAGAGCGACAATACGTGCCAGAATGTCCGGGAACTGCTGTGTAGTGAGAACCTGCACGTCGAGGCGCGAAAAAAACAGAAAGTGCGTGGCATTTCATGCCTTTTCAAGCCACGAACCTCAACGCAGCCAGTGGGTTGATTTCATACGCGCCGTTGGACAGAGGGACTGGACGCCTGTGAAGAACAGCCGCATTTGCTCCCTTCACTTTGCGGCGAGCTGCTACAGGGTAAATCCTGCGTTGGCAAACCAGTTTGGTTTCACTCACAGTACGAGGCCTCTTCTCGAGGCCGGGGCTATTCCTACCGTGTGCCCTGCTGCAGCTGAAAGCAGCTATTCACTGGCCAAACGCCCGCGACATGAGGTGAGTAGTTGGTGTTCCTGAGCTATGACAGCACAGCCGGGACTGATGAATACATTGCATTAAACGCGCAGCTTGTCAAGCAAGGATCGTCGCGAATCGCGGTGATACTCAATTACAGGTCGCTGTCATCATCACTTGCCGATGTTGCCATCACCGCGACGACGACGAGGACGACGATGTTGGCGACAGAGGCATGTCTACGCCTTCAGAGACACAGCTGAACTGACTGTACTTGCGCGCCTAGCAGACGAAACGCCAGTGTGACGTCACCATTTTTTGTGAAAGCGGCATCAGCTGTGCAGCGGCCTCGACGTGGCCGCGAGGTAGCGCTGCCAGCACTAAAATTTGGCGGGCTTTCCACCCATTTTGAACCGCGTTCGATAGCGAATATAATAATCAATATTACAGATACTCATTCATCCCTCAGATGCGTTTAAGGTCGTGAATCGCTACTAGGAGGTCGATAGCTACTTTACGCAAAAATCTTGACATGAGTAAATTTTATGTCAGTGCTCCTTTAAGCTACTAAGTACAGCTGCATTGGACTGAAACACAATTTCCCAGACACGGGTTGAAAGCCTTCCAAAGCAATAAAAGTGAGCAATATAATGCACTTAGAGGTAATCACACTTTTTGGCGAAGATGCACATATCTGTAAGGATATACAAGCATAAATGAAAAAGAGTGCAATAATTATAAAAAAAAAAACACCTGGATTTGATGTATTTATTATGGGACCTTGCAACAATGTCGCCATGTTGCTTTCACATGTGTATGACAGATAAAATATTAAATCACTGAAAACCAAGTGCCTTTACCTTGTGTTGCAACAAAATTGAAGGTTCACACTACACAGCTCAAGTAACTCAAGTACACGTCCATGCTATTTCAGTAGAGAGATTGCTTCGAAGCGACAGCAGTGTTTTTTTCCTTGAAGACAGCAGCAGGACTTCTATTGTGATCAGAAAATGCACTACAATAACACTCCACTCCATCTGATTATACTAGAGGTACAAGCATTCTTTTTCTTTTTTTACATAGGGTTTTAAAGTCTTGTGCTCTACACAAGGGGCCACTTTCGGTCAGCGAGATTGTTGCACACATGAGCTCTGTGTTGATAATCGTTCATTTTTAATGCATGATAATAAAAAATATAATTTCAGGGACCTTTTGCTCTAGCACGACAATGCTTCAACCAATTTCTGTAGTGAGAATCTTTTGGCTGACTTGTACAGTTGAAACCAGTCAAAACCAATCGTATGTACCACTACTCTAAATAAGACTAAATGAGGCGGCTATACAGTGCCTGCATCAGCCATATGCAAAGCGTTTCAAGCCATTTATCATGATCACGACTACCACTCTGGCCCTTTTCATTGTCTCCTCAATGACACCCAAGCACACGAGGCACACATAAAAGTTTGCATGGCAGACATGCTGCTGCTTCAATCCTGTAGTCGCAACCGGTCCACAGAATGGTTGCAGCCAACCCCTAGATGAAAGCGTACCCCATCCACAAGAACAGTGCAACCGGGTGGCACATGCTTGACAATCAGGGGACTATCTTCAATATCAATGAGTGTGTTCTCCAAGTTCAGCCATTGCAGCTGAGGGAAAACATCAACCAGCACCTTCATTGTCTGAATGGTAACCCTTGTGCTAAAGAGACAAAGTTCCTGTAATGAGAAGCACTTTCCTTTAGAGAGGTGCAAAACACCAATATCAGTAACAGCTGTGCTGCCAACATACAGTCTTTCCAGTGCAAGTGCATTCTCAGCAATAGTGCGGATGGCCTCATCTGTGATTTTAGTACCATCAAGGGCCAAGGTTTTCAAGTTATGGCCACGGCTTACAACCAATGCAACACCCGTGTCCCGGATGTCCTCGCAATATTCCAGGTAGAGCTCACGAAGATTTGGGAGTTGTGTGACGAAAGGAATATCTTGGTCCGAGACACACCAACAAAAGCTCAAGTCGAGAATGCTCAGGTTGCGAATGGCCAAAAGTGAGAAGAACTGGTCCACTTGGAAAAATGAGTGGCGAAGTGAAAGGGTCTTGAGAGTGGGTGGGAGGTCCCCAACAGTGACAGGGGCAAAGTCGTCAAGAGTTGTCAGAAGGGCACTCTTGATCACAAGGGTGGACAAGTAAGGGCAGTGGGCTCGAAGGTCCCGCAGAGCTCCCGGAGACAGAAAAAGGCCGCAGTGCAAGAAGCTCGACACATACAGCCACCGAACAGAGTCTGTTAACACCGAGGCCAGCCTGTCCATCTGCACAGAGCTGATTTCAGGTGCACTGGCATCCACACATGTCCACAGGGCCTGGCTCCGTGAGAGACCATACCAACGGCGGCAAACCCTGCCAGAAACAAAGAAATGTTTTACTTAGTTCATCACTGTTCTTCATAATTAAATGCACATATTCACAGTGACTACGAGTATTTTTAAATTGCTCTTCAACAACTAGAAGCAACAAGTACATGATTAGTAAGCAATGAATAAACCATCTTTCTATTTCTAAACTACCAATGAACATGCATAAGTATTGTGCAGTTCATATGGAAGTGTTCAGGAAACATCCAATCAAAAGAAGTCACTAGGCCACACAGTACCAGAGCCTGGAACTTTTTTCTATGCCTGTTGAGTGTTGTGAAGTTTTCCACAATTACATAAAATTGATTAAAAAAAGATATGAGCAGGAATGGCTACTGTGTAGCTTCACTTATCATGTACTGGGTTCCATTTAGTGCACCTTTCACATTCAATTGCTTCAAATGCATAGCCGCATGTGACGAAGGATAATGAAATGAACTTGGGAGGTTTCATGCTCTACAGCCAGTAAAGAAAGGTGTCATGTTGGCAAGACACAGATAGACCACACTGGATTGTATTATTTGCACAACAATATCAGTACACCAGTGCTTGCAAGTCTACACTAATAGCAGCTGCAAGAAGACAAGCCTGATGCTTCATTGTCAGTGATGTGCCATTAAGTGCAAGAAGTAATTTAAGATAGCAAAATCAGTTCTTTCTCTCTCTACATCTCTCTCACACACACAAAATCAAATGAATATTTCTGCATATTCACTGCTTTGTTAACATTCAAAAGAGAACAATCAAGAACATTTTTTATAACGTATTGGCTGAGGTCTAGTCTTTGTTAGATATTCCCTGACAATAATAGTTGGCCAGGCTCTGGCCTCTATGAAGGAATACCCTCGACGAAAGCCAAACTCTAGCCAAGACATTGGAAGAAACAAACATGTTCTCATTTGTCATTTGTGTGTGTGTATGTGTGTGCGTGCATGCGCATGTGTGTGTGTGTGTGCGCGTGCACACCCCAAGTAAGTGGATAACTTTCTAGATGAAAACTGGGATTGATTGATATGTGGGGTTTAACGACCCAAAACCACGATATGATTATGAGAGACGTCGTAGTGGAGGGCTTGGGAAATTTCAACCACCTGGGGTTCTTTAACGTGCACCGAAATCTGAGCACACGGGCCTACAACATTTCCGCCTCCATCGGAAATGCAGCCGCCGCAGCCGAGATTCGAACCCGCAACCTGATGGAAACTGGGAAAGGATTGCTCCACTGGTGTATAATGTAACATATGAAATGGACTGGGAGAAGTACAAGTTTTTCTATGAGCATTATGCATCTGCACACCTCTTTTTCAATTCGACAAAATTGTCTCCATTCACTTCCATGCCTTTCTTGTCGGCAGAAATATTATAATTGCAGCTGCCTTGAGATTCCTGTGCTTTGATCAAAATGGTGCTTCTATGAGTGCCAGTTATGCCGTTGCACTGAGGATTTACAAAGTTTTCCATACGTACGGCTCACATAAAATATACCTCAGAGTGCTCAGTATGCCATGTAGAGGCAAATTGGCATAACGGGTCAATCGGCCGCTGAGCGCGCAGTCGCGGGTTCTAAACTTTGGCGGCCGCGCGCATGCCGATTGGGGCGAGATGCAGACATGCTAGTTTTTATTCTTGCGCACGTGAAACTGTCACCGAGTGGACGAAATTGACGTGCTGCCCTCTACAGCGACAATTCTCGTAGCCCACGTACTGTATAGCCTCCGGGGCACTAACAAAGCTTCGTATTTTATTTTCCGCTATTTATTTTACTTAGAGGTGACAGTGCTCCCAACTTTCAGAAAGCACTCGATGCCCTACTGACCACTTAACAGTTACGTTTCCTCTCTTCCCATTGGTCACATGCGCACAATGGCACACCTAAATGCAAATGTAGGGGGAAAGGAACCAAAGAAAATAAGTAACTTGTAATGAATACCCGGGTTCCGCGCTTTTTTCTGTATTCGTAGTAGGTCTGACAGGACGCCGCGCACTGCGCAGTCAACTTTCCGGAAAACTTATGCCGATCGATTCCACAATGCTCACACTTTCCAAAATGCACCTTCAATAATTCAACGTTCCGAATTCGAAAGCTGCATGTTCAGTGGTTACGCGACGCATCATAGATGGAAGTGACGCTAGTCAAATGCATTAGCCAGAAATCACCACAGTTCTGTTGAGAGCCAAGTTATGGTAGGTGTGAAACGAACGTTGAACTTCAAAACGGCTGAAAGCAGTTTGAAATCAAACAAGGTACAAACTGGCTCTCTATAAACGCCCTGAAATAGCAATGACCTGGGTTTGTACAGGAGGAGGCTGCGCCCACGTATCAAACACGAAGCGAACAGAGCACGATTGCGAATTGCGTAGCATCATTCTGAGCCAGATTAGTTTATGCATTAGAAGCACATGGGCGAGCATTTTGATGCTGTTAATCGGAGACTGTAACTGGGCAACTTCTGCTAATACAAAATGATGGCTCAAGGCGCGAACGTTTCGTTGACATTTAAATTTAGTTGGCGGAATTCCTTTTAATTCAATTACTAGACTATGCAACGCTGAGATGGTATTTCTTACACGAACTCCTGCCTAGCGTTATTGTAATTCAATAAAGTCTGCGCAATGTGAACATGGACTACGCCTAGACACTGTAACAAAGGCGCTACACATACGATTGCAGGTTCAGCACGCTGGAAATCAAATATTGCCTATTCTCGGGGAAAACAGTGCTGCGTGTCAAATTGAGCCGGGTGCAACGGGTTTTGTTTTCCCCGTTCAAGACAGCTTTCGCGATGCGCCCTTAAGACATGCTGGCAAAGTGATTGATCTGACCGCTTGGTGCTCACCTCCCAACTTTGCATAGATCAGAGAACTTCAAGAGCCTGAATATCTGCAGAAGTACCACGTCGGGCAGCCCATCTGCATCAAATGCTGTCATGATAGTGACTCCACGCATAAAAACAAAAATCACATGTTGAATGAGAACGGAATCATTTGCAGACACTGTGAGAGCTGAGCAGAGCAGGTAACAGACAAAAAAATTACATTTTCATATGGCGCCCTCTCGCGGTTCTCCATATTTTGCTAATACGCCAACAAGCCGCTTGGGCTCAGTACGGGTCGCCAAGAGTTTTTTCACGGAGGAGGAAACCCTTCCTCCATGAGGTTTTTTTTTTTTTTTTCAATCATTGCGGAACTCCCCAAATTGTCCTTGTCACGCTCTGTGTATGAGTACGGTCCCTAGAATATAAAGTATAATCTAGGGACCATAATATGAGTGGGCACTGTGAATTGGGCATCCGAATCGCAATATCTTATTAGTCGTGGCTCAATTCGGCGAAGGAACAGAAAAAATGTTTACTCCCTCACTTTATTTTATGTTGAGAATCAATATAATATAGAATGTAGATGCATGTGCGTTGTACAATGTACGTGGGTGCAAAGAGGAGGGAGTTTTTGAATAGCGTACACAAAGCTTTGCGCTGATTGATTGATACGTGGGATTTAACGTCCCAAAACCACCATATGATTATGAGAGTGAAGTTAACGGCTCCGGAAATTTCGCCCCCCTAGCCTTCTTTAACGTGCACCCAAACCTGATCACAAGGGCCTACAGAATTTTCGGCTCCATCGTTCGGCTCACCCCCCCCCCCCCCCCACACACCCCATCGCATCCGGGGTGTGGGGGGGGGGGGGGCGTAACTGTCTCTCAGGGGGAGGACATCTCAACGAGTAGCTCACGAGGGGTTGGGGTAAAGGAGAGATTAAAAGGATGGGATTAAAAGGTAAAGAGATAGAGAGAGAGGAATGAGAGAGCGAGGCGCAGGGACAGCGAACGACGGAAGTAAGGAGAAGATAGGAAAGATGGACACGGTCGCAGGAGTCCGAGGACGGGCCACCACTCGGCGAGAGCTCTTGTCGGCTTCAGGAGATGGCGTAGGGCGAGCCCGGTCGGCCAGAGCTGCGCTGTCGTCGGAGATCGCGGGGGCACAGCCTGTTGGCACGAAATCCAGCGAGCGAGTAACATCCCTTCAGGCGGTGGGTAACCTGATTGATGTAAGGGACAACAGCTATTTAAATGTGGGGCAACGCATGGGTGTGCGTGTAGTTTCCTCTGCACCACACAAGCTTTCTCAGCTGGCTAGGCTGACATGTGCCGCTAAACACAGGAAACAGCTGTGCAAAACAAAGCACAGAAACCGTTTTGTCAATTGCATTAGCAACGCGTTGTTTACATGATCATACTTTCGTGCGGTGCCTGTTATATTGGGCAAACTGGAAAATGCCTAAACGACAGAATTGCATGAGCATGCGTGCAATGTTCGCAGCGGCAACGATGGTAACCCAGCATGTCACCAGATGTGGCTGTGAAGTACAGTTTGATAACACAGCCGTACTTACCAAACACAAAGATGAGCGCACAAGGCTTATAATTGAAGTGCGTCAACACTTGACTTGCGTCAGCAAACCATCAATAGCTCTGTCCGATAAGGAGCTAGCGTTTTTGGACAGTAGCAAATGTCATGCAGGAGTTAATTAAGTAATCACTCTAAGGCAGAGTAGACGTTGGTAGGGTGGGGCTGACGTACATAGATATTTTACCGGTTTTGTTATTTTGGTCCGTGATTTGGTCTTATCGAATGTGCCATGACATTGTTTCGTCTGTCAGTACATATTTCATAGTTTTCCAAATAAACTTTCAGTTGGTAGTAAGCCCTTGTCCCTGTCTTTCTGTCCGCGGCTAAGTAGTGCGCTCTCGTTTCAAAACAATCATGCATCACCTACTCGCCCAATCCAACATATTGACATCTAGTGAACACTCAAAGTACCGCCATCTCGCACCCCCTGAGGCAGATACCCACTCCGCGCGTCCATCGGTCCGTCTGATAGTCTGTCTGTCCGTCTGTTCATGCGCCCGTCCGTGCCTCCATCTAGTGAACACCCCAAGTACCGCCATCCCATTTCGCATGCTACGTATGACAACAACGTAGGATGGACAGACCCACGCCTTAAGGAGCTTCGCTCCTAAAAATTGCTGGAACGGAAGCTCCCACCAAAGATATCGGATTTACAACATGCATGCCGAGCCTTCTTGATGGGACGCGGCTTTTCCAAGACGGCCCACCACATCCTACTCAAGGCAACAAACATCGACACATCCAGCCCTCAACGTATCTACTTGCTCTGGACTTCTGGTCACTTCTCCCTGCCGGGTAATGGTTGCGCTCAGGCGGTCGCTCGAGAGAACTCACCCACTGAGCCGCCCTGCATAGCGAGGCCGAGAGTCCAGATCAAGTGGGCCCTCCACTACCGAGATGTACTGGCATATTACACCAGAGCTAGGCGCACCATGCGCCTAGCTCTGGTTTAATATGCTAGTACATCTCGGTATGTGAGTGGAGGGCCCACTTGATCTGGACTCTCGGCTGTACTGGCATATTACACCAGAGCTAGGCGCACTATGCGCCCGCCCTCACCATCATTCTCGCGAGAAGATAGAGTTTGCACTCCACCAACTCTAAACGCATACGTTCCCCAGCCTTCTCTTCATGCATAAATTCTACCCTGACCGCTACGCAGACTCTTGCCCAGGCCGTGGCAGCGCCCCAACAGTATTTCATGTCACGGTGGAGTGCGTTCCAAAATTATTTTCTCCCCTTCCCGCTGCCCCGCCGCGGTGGTCTAGTAGAAGGTACTCACTCGGCTGCTGATCCGCAGGTCACGGAATCGAATCCCGGCTGCGGCGGCTGCATTTCCGATGGAGGCGGAAATGTAGGCCCGTGTGCTCAGATTTGGGTGCACGTTAAAGAACCCCAGGTGGTAAAAATTTTCGCAGCTCTTCACTACGGCGTCTCTCATAATCATATGGTGGTTTTGGGACGTTGAACCCCACATACCAATCAATCAATCGATCAATCCCTTTCCCGCTATCCTGCGCCGCTTCCGCACCAAAGAGCTGTGGGACGACGCCCTCTGCAACGGGCCTCCCGAGGTCTGCCAGGCTTTGGTTCAACGGGCTTGGTTGGTTGCCGAGATTATCATAGGGAACCCGGACTATAGGGTTCCCTCCCACGTGCTTTGGTTATATATATGCTTAATAAAATGTTTTATTTCCTTTTCTCGGAAGCATGCATTTTTCTGGTGGTGGCCACTTACAGGTCAAGTCGCTTTGATATTCTAAATGCTGCGTCTATTATAAATTAAGATACTTGTTCTTGACGAAATACAGGCAGAGACGAGTATCGGTGACAAGGTGGTATGATAGGGTGAATAGTATATGTCAGTTTTAGCGTAATATCTTAGAAACAGTTGAAAGTATTCCCATAAAATTTTACGTGCTCACAAAAAATGCCACTGGGTATCAAGTGACACTCTTTTTTAGGGGCGAATCTCCTTAGGGTGTGGGTCTGTCCTTCCTCTGTTGTCAAAAGTAGCCACCGGTGGCACGTACCCCTATGCAAGATGGCGGTACTTGGAGTGGTCACTAGATGGATACACGGACGGATGCATAGACGGACGAACAGACAGACTAGCAGACATGCGCGGAGCGGGTATGTGCCATAGGGGATGCGAAATGACGGTACTTGGAGTGTTCACTAAATGGACGCACGGACGGACGTACAGACAGACTAGAAGACGGACGGATAGATGGACGGACGCGTGGACGTACAGACGGATGGACGGATTGACGCAGGACAGACAAACAGACGCATAGATGAATGCCTGGAAGGTCGCGCGGACGGATGGAAGCACAAACGGGCTGGCGGACGCTTCGCCCCACTCATAAGCATTCCCTCCGTGAATATGTAGATTTTTTATGCCTAGGTTGCTTATCCCTCCTATAGCCCACATCCAAAACCTAAGGGGGGTTCACTTATTCAATGTACCTTTTCTCTGCAACTACCGAAAGGAATGTAACCATATTCTGCCGTGTTGTTGTAGAGACTCATAGGTTACATCAGAACTAAGAGTATATTACATTTTTTATGAAATTTTTGTAAAAAAATACAAATAATGCTTGCACAACGCCACGGAGGGTACATATTGTGTAATTTTTTTACTGCTTTACGTTTCATGGAATCGGCAATTTGTTATGTTCAGATTGTTTCTAACTTGTTGTAGCTCACACACACAGTTTCATCTAAATCGATTCAATACTTTTTGAGAAAAGGTACAGTGAATCTGAAAAAATTGCAGAAAGCGCAATTTGAAAAAAAAAAAAATGAAGTGAAAAAAAAGAACAGTGATGTGACACCCTCTGTTTGAGGCGTGTAATTTGAAGTGTGTTAACCCGATGCGGACCGCTAAAACGTGATTTTATTTCAAGCACTTTCTGGGCATAAAAGTAACACTATGAGGATTCTGGACCACTTTCAACAATCAATGTAGACTTAATAGTTGCCTTTAGTGCTCCTAGTAAGATGGCGGTCATCGCCGCCATCTTTCGGTGAGTACAACTTCACTTCACGACAATAATTTCCACTGCAGCAATTTTTCAATCCTCTTTGATCGCAACGAATGCAAACTATTACGCTATTATAAAACTCCTCAGTGTTTCGCATCACTGCGCATGTTTTATGCGCTAACCTGTTGACAAATGGCGACCGTAAAGCTTTGCGAACGCCATGGAGGAAGGCCTGGCATAGACGAGTTTTTGCAACTCGTCAAAAAATTGTGGGCATAGCATTGCAGGCATCACATAATGGGAGCCTGCAATGCATTAGCGTACCGCGCATGGGCAATGCAAAGCTTTGCATGTGTCGTTCTAAAACTCTAACAGGCATTTTTAAAAATGGGCTCCAAATCCCTTCGTGTGTGCCGACTTTGGGTCAAGCAGGAATTAAGAGTTCTCAAATAGGGTCTGTGGCACTTTTGACACTTCTTCGATTCAAGGTCACTCTAGTATTGACCTGGAACTATCACTTCAGGGGGGGGGGGGGGGGGGGTGCAGTCATGTTTGTTTGCCACAAATATTTTGGGTCAAGCTTTAGAGCTCCCGCTAAGTTCGAGAAATAGTGTCCCAAATAAAAAAACTCACTGCTGCTTGGGTCTCGCACATGCACAGTGGTATCGGCAATTTCTTTGGGGCCTTTATTAAAGATCTCCCTGATCTCTAGTTTTAGAATAGCGTCAGCAAAGCTTTGTGTTAGCGTCTCGTGCCACTGTGCAAACATAGCGTATGCTATACCTAAAAAAAGTGACGCAATGCAAAGCTTCCGCGTATCGCTTAACGGGAGCTTTCAGCAGGTTATAGCATAAGACACATGTCCAACGCAAACGCAGAGCTTTGCGTATGCTATTATAAAACTCTCTAATACCGCTCAAGTACAGTGACCAAGCCCTCAAGTGCTGTCTGAAGAGGTACTCTAGCATCGTCTTCTCTAGTCATCTCTCAGCATTGCTATGATAGCCAACACAAAAGCCACTTCTCACACTGCCGCACTAGCGTTTAGTTACGGCCATATGTATTGTTGAAGGAAAGAAGTGCATATTTAAGAGTTCATTTTTTTAATAGACACAATATTAATGAGAACTCACAATAATTCCACGAAAGTATGGGGGATATTATTAGAATTGCAACGTAAATACAAAGAAAAAAAAAGTGGACGAAAAGATAACTTACCACCGGAAGGGTCTGAACCTGCATTGAGTTTCACTGGGGCAGCTGCTGAAGGAATTAACTGCTAGCCTTATCTTGTGTAACATTCTGATTCGTTGCTGTTGCATTCAGTGCTTCACTCTTGTGGCGAAAGTTAACAGACTCCCCATTTCCCCCAAGGCTGTTGAAGAACCAAACCTGATAAAAGCGGAATTTTTACTTTTGCTGCTGAAATTTTAGAGAAATTTAGCATCTCTATTTAAAAAAAATTGGTGGTCTGCCACAAGAAAAATTGCATAAAACATTCCACAACAAAGCTTTACAATCGAGATGACAGTGCCAGTATGCACATCCTATTGAGTGGAAGCAGCACGATTGGACTGGGGCCTTGACTGGAAGCAAATGCAAGATGTGCGTCTCTCACATCAAGACTGCATCAATGGCAAGACCATGGCCTGTCATTAATTTCTACCTTTCTTCCTTTAATTGGTGGGGAAGATACCTGCATCAGAGCACCCAGGTCTGCAAAAGTGCAATACTGAGGCAAGAAATGAGAGCCATGCACTGCTCTCTGTTCAGTGCATGTTACCTATAGAAAGCAAACTTTACATATGGAGGACTGAATTAACAGGCATTGATGCTAACACAGTCACCCATTATGCCTTACAAATGCATATGGGCACTTCACAACTGCACTTGCTGCAGTAGGCATTCCAGGATAGTTTGAAATGGCCAATGTTACGCACACAGACATTTATCTCACTGCGGCACAATTAGGCATGCCAGTTAGGTAGCCAGAATTTTTCTTTTTTCTGTGGGGGTTCATCCATACTTTATGTATGTTTGTGCATGCATTTGTATGTGTGCAAGCTGAATTGACTTTTTATATAGGATGAATTGACCCACCTCCCCCCTTCCCCCTGGCTATGCCCCTGTGCTTGAAGTATTGAAGCCAGGCAGGCAATTTATGAGGAGATGCACATGAGGCTCGAACTACACTGTCACATTCTACTTGAGTGTCCAGGTTTCTTTCCTTGCTCCACTGTACATAGGGCAACTTATCTAAGCCGTCGTGTGTCATGCATTTCGAACATGAAGAAAAATATTAAACATTTCACTCGCTGCTGTATTATTGTGACATGTTTAAATTTCTTGTAATGCAAAGAAGCAGCCAGTTTTGCTGAAAGTGAGGCCACACAATACACTGACACAAATTCAAGATAAATGCCTCTTCTGCTACCCTGTTTTCCCTCTTTCTCTACATTCACAGAACATTCGTAGAAGCAAGTCCAGCTGTACATCATGAGCTTCTTTACTGCATTTGTACACGGCATCAATGATACATGAAACACGTTACAAAAGGCTGAAAGGCGACATGGTACAGTCCAAATACAAAACAAATAAGCAGGACATTTAAAGGGAGTGAACAATGCCAAAACAGTGACATGCGTGAAATTCGTACAACAAAATACAAGTTAATCTTTAAAAATTAGTTCTCTTAAGTTCACTTTAGTCACATAATTTTCACATTTAAGCTGCTGCATGTAGGTTTCTACACACACACAATGCCGAGCAAAATAATTTTTTAGGACCATGTAGGGGACTGAAACAATGCATCAGTAAAACATGTAACATCTCTTGTTTGCCACGTGCTAGGTAGGTTCTCTTGTAGCATGTGTCCATGTATGGCTGTGTGTCTACATTTGTCCACTCTTTTATGTGTACTAAAAAACACCTACTAAAGATGTGTTAAATTCAGTTCATGTTTTCACGATCCACCTTGTGTAGAGACTTGTGCTATCACTGTCAGCAAGCATAGTTCTAGAGAAAGCTGGTGGCACCAAACGTGTGAAATAAGCTTTGGCCTACCTAATCCAAGTTTATTTGCTGGAGAGCACTTCTGGCTGCTACCAGTCCAATACAACAATGTCACTTAGTTTGAGTTCTTATTTAGTTTTCTCAATGTGAGAACTACACCAAAGACAGCAGTGAGTGAAGCTGTGACTTTTGTGTTCCCAGGAGAGAGATCACCGTTGCCGTCAGACATTCCCCTTCACCGACTTCTGCCATTGCCTAGAGAGGCACCCAGCCAGCAAACCAGAAAATGCTAAATTTGATGAGCATTGTCTTTTGGCCCAGAAATGTGATGCTACATAATGCCATTTCCTTAACACACTAACAGAACATTTGTAGATAATGCACCTCAATATTGTTTTCTTTTACTGCACTCTACCTGAGCATACAATATACAGTGCAACCAAGATCAGCACCTGCACATGCATGCTCATACATATCGAGCTAATCTGTCTGGCTCAGTAAAAAAAAAAAACACAGTGGTGACAAGCGTTTACAGAGATATGATCACATGAAAATATGACAATCCACTCATAGGCATGCACAGAATTCTCCTTCAGAGGGGAGGGGGGCGAAGGTTCGTTGCAGCGGCCTCCTCCCTATTATGCACGGGGCTGACTATGCCTCCCCCTCCCTCCTTAAAAGCTTTATCCCTTCATATTATGTCAATGGGTGGGGCCATAGTTTCATACCATAATAACTAAAGAGGAATCTGCCGCTGCGATCATGTACCTCCATGGGAGTTATGGGAAGTACAGACTTCGGATTTAATAGGGTTAGCTAGCGAACTGCCTACGGACTTTTTTTTACATTTTCAGTTTCGTTCTTTGCGCAGCGCGGGTAGTGGGGTATGGTGAAAAAGGCTGAAACAGTGCCTTTGTTGTTCAAAGAGGGTGACGACCACTAGATCTTCTGATACGTTACGACGTTGGACCTTTACGAGTCTTAGTTTACAGTTTAAACGAAGCGTCGTCTACTCACCACTGCGTTTAGATGTAGCGTCCAATGCCAGTGCAGGATATTGGCTTGAGTTCATGTTTTTCACAAGGGCGTCTTGCTAAGCTCATTTTAAATCGACTGCAAAGCGATGACAAAGCAAAGCAGAAGCACTGTCACGCTCCCCTGACTCGACTTCCCAACAAAACCACAGGTGCGTTGAGGGCAGACCACTGGAACCACTGGGACAGGTGCACCTAGCGTCGCAGAAGACTAAACGATAAGTGTTTCACACTTGATACTGTACTGTTATTTTTATAAATAGATAATACATACTTTCGAAAAAAAAAACAAGTGTGTTTGTTTTCAAATGTTGTAAAAAATAATTGATTAAATCCTGATGCCAAATCTGGAACACAATGGCACAGTGATGCATACCCCGATGATTGAATATGCCCAGGTTTCACTTTTGCCGCCTGGCCGCGAAAATTTTTGTAATAAAGTTTGTGCAAAAATAATTGAAGCAAGTTTAAATTAAATCTATGTTCATACCACTTTGTTTTACACCCGGAAAAGAAGCGTCACGAATCTCAAGAACGTAATCAATCTAAAGCGAATCCGAAGCCTGTATTCCCATAATTCCCATGGGGTACAAGCGCCGCTGAAGGAGCCCGCATGGACATTAGCGCCAGATTCCGCTCTAGGTATTATTGTATGAAACTCTATGTGTGGGGCTCTCAACTATGCGCCCTTCTTAGATGAATGGGGGAGGCGGCTGCCCTCCCCATGCGCACGCCTAAGAATCTTGTGAGTGTCTCCAGATGGCATATGTCCAAAAGTGCTTCACTTGGGCAACAACTTAAAAAGTGCAACATCAGGTTATCACTTGTAGCCTGCACAAAAAAAATATTTAAAATCTGCAAATACACTTATTACAGAATATAAAGGGGAAAAAGTATAGTGTTGCTAGTCACATCAATATTTAAACAAATTATTATTGATGTTCTTACACAGCATCAAATACATGTCCCTACTCATATTCATGTTTTTTCAGAGGAGCTGAAGGAAAGCTTGTCAGCTCATTCTAACACTTAATTTGCTAAAGTAGTAAAATCACAAAAAAAGAAAGTCATTCTACTTCTGTAGAGAAAGCAAATCGTACTGTCAACATTTTTATCAGCACTTAAATATTAACTAATGGTATGCCACAAAAAATGCACTCACGAACATGTTTCCTGCAATATAACAAGTTCAACGTAAAACAGCAGGTGGTGAAATCTACACAAAATACAACCACCTAATTACCAGCAACTAAAAGCGTATGGCAGAAATGTGGAACACAACTCGATTCCTACAAACAAATAAAATCACACAAATAAAAATAGTGTATATATAGTATTTCAAGGTGTAGAAGATGTTGTATGTGCCTTGATGAGAATAGAAAACAAATACACATGAATGTGCACTTTGTGCCCCCTTGAGCCAAGTATTAAAAGCAACATAGGTGCAACACGGCCGGGCTAGAGGAGTGGCCCGCAGGCACTCTCTTGGCTACACACCGAAAGAGGAAACAACAGGGCAAATTCTTCACAGATCATTGCAGGCGAGGATTGGGCCGGCAGTACTAGCGGCAGTAAAGGTGGGAACTAGACACGAAACGCAGGCCTCGGTCGACACCTCGATTTTGACCAACAGCACGTGTTTGGATTTAAATCGAGGGAGAAACCCCCCCACCCCCACACGTTAAATCATAAATCAAGCGATAGTTGTTTCTGATGAAAAAACATACAGAGACGAGTATATCTCCAATAAAATTTGCCTTGAATCTGAGGCTTAGTAAGAAAAACTAGTAACAGAAGGACACACTTTGAGCACTATCTTACCCGAAAAGGTTGCCAGGTGAAACTCGCTGGGCGATTTTTTTTAAACCTCCTTATTTTAGTAAGGTTTACCCCCGTATTTTAGAACGTCCCCTCACTCAACGCTTCACCTTCACTTGAGAAAGCCGATGGGAGCGCAGTCTCTAGGCACTGAAAGTCACTGCATATCAGCAATAATCAGCTGCGACTCTTGAGTGGCGCAGTGCCCAACTCTGTCAAGAGAAGGGTGTAAGTCGAGTCGAGGAGGGTTTGTGGGGGTTTAGCGAGGGTTGGGCCGCAGCGCCATGAACCAGCGGTGGTGAAAGGTGAGAACTAGACACGTAGCGCAGGCCGCAAGAGAGCGCGCGCAAGCCACTCCTCTAGCCCGGCCGTGGGTGCAAGCAAAAGCTGGACAGGTGTGTGCGTATGTTCTACACTGGGCAGACGAAAACACACTAGCAGCATAAACAACATAAATCAGTCAAGATATCAAACGCAACCATCAAAGAATACAGGGTTGAACATAAGTCCACTACACAGGATCACACTAAAATCTTCCAAAATGATTTCACCCTCAAGAAGAAATACCAGGATTGCTTTCAGTTTTCGCACTACTTAAGGAGATATTGCTGCTTTCTGAAACTACATAAGAAAAAGTACTGTGCGCCTTGTGCCCAAGACGATCAGCCAGCTTCATCTGCATGAGCATGGCAATGGCATGAACCAATCATAGGTGAATGAAGTAAACCTGATACAGTAGACTCTCGGTAAACAAAAGTCTGTTAAACGGAACTACTGCTTAAACGGAACTATTGCCTCTGCAATGCTTGGTTTCAGGCTTGTATTCTGCACCCATGTTCACCTCTCAGTAAATATAACTGCTGTTAAATGAAACACATTTTCCCGGTCCCTTCAGGTTTCGTTTACTGAGAGTCTACTGTATTTATATTTCCGTTTACCCAATTTTTGACAATCATGATCACATATGCATATATAGTAAATTAAGAAAATAACCAGCATGATAATTTAGAGCAAATGGTGTAAAGCTAAAGTTTGGCCAATATCTTTACCGATTTATTTTAATAGGAAATGAGCAGCATTCTGTGTGGTGAAGCAGGCTGTGAGTGAAGGTGATGTGCGTGGAACGACTGGCTTGTCAATGACTACAGCAGCCTTCCACGAAGCTCCCTATGGCCAGAGGGATGTGTGAAATGCTTAAACACTCCTTTAGATGTCCAATTTTATTATTCACAAATAGATGAAGTTGAATCTGGAAGAAATAGAGTAATAATCAGTGAAATATGTTTTGAAAACTAGGTTCACCAAAAACACTTGAAAAGAGAAACGCATCACACTCATATAGAATTTAAAAAAGTAAAATTGCACAACAATCATAGTTACGTAACAGTGGGCCTTCGCTAAAAAAAAAATGACATGCCACCGTCAAGTGTACTGCAAGCTTTTAACCAAAGCGCGATGCACCACCGTTCGCGGCCACCTCATGAGGGAATACTTTTAAGAGTGCGATACAAAAGCTGAGAAACCTCGCCGCATTGACTATCTCTTAAAGCACAGAAGCGTATGGCACAAAGTGATAAGCGGGTGATACTAGGCGATAACGCCTCTTGATGTGCGCAACCACACGTTATTAGTACTGCCCATGTTAGCCTGTTCTATTTTCTTAAATATCAATAGCTATCGACATTTAATTGCCACCCGCACCGTCCCACAGTCTATGCAAATGAACTACCGAACGAACAGGAGCCAGATTTATTGAGGAAAAAAAAAAGTACACCATTTACACTGCGACCATTACAGACTTCAGACCATTACACTGCTTAACAAAAACTTGCACGCAAGAAATACCACTGCATTTAGCTTTACTGTGTCAGCGTATCGTGAACTCATAAACCGTAAATAAAAAGGTTCCTATTTTGCAGCACAAGAAAAGCAGTGAATGTTACAGCAGGAAATGGGAATACTATACGAAGGCTAGCAGCTAGCTCCTACAGTATCCAACCTGGTGCAACTACAAGGAAACTCAGTCACTCCAACGAGCAAAGCAACCTTACCGGTAACACTTCATTGCAAACTGAGCAGCGAGAACAGCACATACGAAAAAAAGTCTGCCGATCCCTGCAAAGAAAAGCATACGTGACCGCGCCTGCCTGAGCAAAGTGAAGAGTTCCTGCGAGAGCCATACAGCAATTATGGAAGAGACTTTTCACTTTTGGGAGCAGCGATTGTAGTAGAAATAGTACTACTATAGTGGCTAGGGGAGCAGCGATGGCGTTGTGGTTAGAGCATCCGCCTCGCATGCAAAAGGTCCGTGGTTCAAATCCCGGTGCCGCGCAGTTCCCAACCGGATAAAAAAAAAAAATCCGCGTGGTGATGGAACTGCATTACGAGGCCTGGGGTGCGGCCTCACCGGTAACCACCGCCAAAAATGCACTCCCTCACTAGAGAAGGATTGGCCACCCTGGTGCAGTATCTGGCCGCTACCTCCCACATGCATACGTCAAATAACTCACGGCCCTCAGTCCCCAGCAGCTGCGAAGCAACTGACCATGGTGGCATAGCTGGCAACATAGAGGAATACTATAGCATTAATGAAAGGGTAGTAGGTATCGTAATTAAACTGAATAAGAGATACAAGATGAAGGTGGTACAGGCCTACGCGTTTACATCCAGCCATGATGACGCTTTAGTTGAAAGCTTCTATGAAGATGTGGAATCGGCAATGAGTAAGGTAAAAACACAGTATACAATACTGATGGGAGACTTTAATGCAAAGGTAGGGAAGAAGCCGGCTGGAGACCAGGCAGTAGGAGATTATGGCATCGGCACTAGAAACGCCAGAGGAGAGCTACTAGTAGAATTCGCAGAACTCAATAATTTACGGGTTTTGAATACCTTCTACCGAAAACGAGAAAACCGCAAGTGGACATGGAGAGCCCTAATGGCGAAAATAAGAACGAAATAGACTTTATAATGAGTGCACACCCAGGAATCGTGAAGGATGTGGAAGTGGTTGGCAAGGTACGATGCAGTGACCATAGAATGGTACGGTCTCGAATTCGCCTAGACTTGAAGAAGGAACGACCGAAACTGATACGCAAGAAGCCAATCAATGAGCTAGCACTGAGAGGGAAAGTACAGGAATTCAGAGTGTCGCTGCAGAACAGGTACTCGGCTCTTAGTGAGGAAACCAACCTTAGCATAGATACAATGAATGATAATCTGACGAGTATCATTACGTAGTGTGCAGTGGAAGTTGGTGGCAGGGTAGTTAGACAGGACGCTGGCAAGCTTTCCCAGGAAACGAAGAATCTCATTAAGAAGCGTCAAATCATGAAAGTCTCAAGTGCAACAGACGAAATAGAAATGGCAGAGCTTTCGAAGTTGATTAATAGGCATAAGGTATCCGATGTAAGAAGGTATAACTTGGAGAGAATTGAACACTCTCTGAAAACCGAAGGAAGCGTCAAAGCAGTCAAGAGGGAACTTGGGATAGGCAAAAATCTGATGTATGCACTAAGGGACAAAGAAGGCAAAATAACTACCAATATGGATAGGATAGTTAAAATAGCGGAGGAGTTTTACAGACATCTGTACAGTAGCCGGGATAACCACGACTATAATACTATAAGAACTAGCAGTAACCCAAATGACACCCCACCAGTAATGATAGAAGAAGTCAGAAAAGCTTTGGAGAGCATGCAAAGAGGCAAAGCTGCTGGTGATGATCAGGTAACATCAGATCTGCTGAAAGATGGAGGACAGATTGTGTTAGAAAAACTAGCCACCCTGTTTACGAGGTGTCTTCTGACGGGAAGAGTACCAGAGTATTGGAAGAACGCTAACATCATCTTAATACATAAGAAAGGAGATGACAAGGACTTGAAGAATTACAAGCCAATTAGCTTGCTCTCTGTAGTATACAAGCTATTTACAAAGGTAATAGCTCAGAAATGCTCAGAATACAACCAACCACTATACATAGCCTTCATAGATTACAAGAAGGCGTTTGATTCAGTAGAAATATCAGCCGTCATGCAGACACTGCGGAATTAGGGCGTCGATGCAGTATACCGGGTGTTCAAAATTAAGCTTTATGATTTTTTTAAAATTAGGCGCTCGAAGGCACGTGAGAACCACTTGTGCAAATAAGTTAAGCGGCCAGGGGGACAGAAAGTTAGATGATAATTATCGCTGTCAGCAGCCCAATTAACTAAAATTTAATAATTAACTTTTTACTGGCTGCGGTAAGTTGGCATGTTTATATTGAAAAAATGTAGGCAGTGGTGTTTGTACACAGTTTCAGTTGGAAGATTTTTTCTAGCACGCCTGTGTTCCGAGATATCCGGCTCCAAAGTTTAATTGTCTTTCGCACGATTACGCATGCAAGAGGGTGAGGGTCCGCGCAAAGCTCCTCCCTAAAGTGACGCATCTGTTGCGTGTGGTGTTTAGTGTGTGAAGAGGGTGGAAGCATAGGCATAGGTGATAGCAATTACCCTTGCCCTCTTCGGCCGTCGAAATCAAAAATCGAAGAACGCTTGCAACCAGTGTCGTAACACGCAACTGCAGAGCCTCTAACGATAGTGGCAGATACCATGCCGAGATAATGGTGCGAGCGGAGAATCTGGATGCCAGTGCGCGTGCGTAATAATCACTAGAGAAGCATGCGTGGTCGTTGCCTGGGCTACGCGAATAGCGTGACTGCTGATGTCCGAGTACTGTAACTTTTATTGAAACAAGAGCAACAACTCCACCAATAATAACTGAAACAGTTTTATCCTTGCTAACGCATATTTCCTGCTGCTACATAAGCATATTTCGGTCATGCACAAATCTCATCGAAACTCTTCACCTCTCAAGACGTCAATGCCCCAAAAAGTGTTCAAAATGCCTGCCTTCGGCAGCAACGCAAAGCATGAACCGCTGTCGCGTCGACTCGATGACTCGGCGCAGTACTTCTGCAGGAATACTCGCACAGGCAGATGTTATCCTGTCCTTCATGTCATTAACATCGCTGGGCTCTGTTACGTAAACTCGATCTTTAACGTAGCCCCAAAGGAAAAAGTCGAGCGGAGAAAGGTCAGGTGATCTTGGTGGCCAAAACATCGCTCCTGCGCGCCCAATCCACTGTTGTGGAAAACGTCTGTCCAACCAGTTCTTCGCCCTGGTAGAAAAATGTGGTGGTGCTCCATCGTGCTGAAACCATACTTGGCGCAGGTCATTCAGGGAAAGACTGCAGACAAGATCATCAATGACAACACCTAATATTTCTTCTGTGTACATCTTTCCGTTCAAGTTGTCCTCAAAAAAGTGAGGTCCGATGATCCTGTCCCCGAGTATGCCGCACCACACATTCACACTCCAGCGAACTTGATGCTTGTGCTGCCTCAGCCAGTGTGGGTTTTCTTGTGCCCAATAATGGGCGTTGTGAAGATTAACACTTCCATTTCGGCAAAACCGAGCTTCATCAGTCCAAATTATTCTGTGCAAAAAGTCATTTTCTTGATCAGTTTTGATGAGGCCCCAATTGCAGAAGTCAACTCGCCTTTCAAAGTCCGCCTCATTTAGGTCCTGATGAAGGTAAACGTGATATGGATGGAACTTGTGCTTTCTTAAAACATTTGTGACTGTTCCGATGCTGCGACCGCACTGATCGGCAATCTGTCGGATGCTGAGCTCTGGCATCGAGGTTACGCACGCGACAACGTCGATTTCAAAGTCTTCATCGACGATTGCCTTCCTGGTCCGTCTCGGAAGGTGGACAGAGCCTGTTGTGCAGAAGCGTCGAAACAGGTTTGTGAAAGTGGGCCTTGTTGGAAGGGGACGGTGTGGGTGGCGAGACGCGTAAAGCTCCATTGCTAACGAAGCGTTGCCATTCATTTCAGCCATTGCAAGCACCACGTCTACTTTTACTTTGGTAGAATACCTCACGCCAGAAGCAGCCATATTAGCTCGAAAGGACTCCACGTGGATTTCCTTGGTAGACCTTCAATGCAGAGACGCTGTGCTCTAACCGGAGGCACCCTAGTGCAGGACGGTCCTGCTAACGCGTTCACAAGAAGATGTCTCAGTGTGATCTAAAGTCACGAAAAAACGTCGCGAAAAATGGTCTCCTGTTATCGCGTTCATCAGGATCATGCGTAAGGCTCATGGCGCACCGCGCTGTCACATTTTGATTTCGCCGGCCGAAGAGGGCAAGGGTAATTGCTATCACCTATGCCTACGCTTCCACCCTCTTCACACACTAAACAC